TGCTGTTTATAAGTATTCTCAAAAGTATGGTGATTACTTGGCACAGGAATTTGGGCAGTTATGTTGTTATGACATAAGGATATTTAAGACCAATTGAAATAGCCTTTTATAAAAAAGCAGGATGAAGATTCTGCAGCCTTTATCTCACCAAATAAACAGGCAAAGGATGTCTAACTGCATTCAGATTAGTTAGTATGGACTTCATAAAAATTTTTTAAAAAGCAATGGAGCAAGGTGAATTTGGCTTTATCACAATGGAGAATTTTTTCACCGATCACAGAATTTTAAAACATGGAACGTGGGGATGGGATGGTATTTCAGAAGAAAGACTAAGTGTGGAGATTGCCTGTGGGTGTATCACATTGATTGGCATTGATTTGTTTTGTTCTCTGCAAAGCATAAGACAGCTTATTGCCTTGCTACCTATACAGGCTAAAGGGAATTGTGTTTCTCTAATTCTGTAGTCTCCCATCAGCCACATTGATACTGGAATTTTTCCCCTCTCTGCTTAGGTATCTTCATACTTTCTTGGAAAATTAAGTGGAAAAGATAGTGCTTCTTTTCCTTATGCCATCATTTTTACTGTACCCAATCTGTGACTTTAGGAGCACCAGTTTTTAAGGGTAAGTCTCTGGGAAGCAGAGAGAGTTTCTTAAATAGGTAAGGCCATCCTGAGGACTTGGAGAGTTTGGGAGGGTCGAGGGGGTTTGGGGCTGAAGGGATTCTATAGAGCAGGACATCTTAAGATGACAAATCTTTTACTTATCCAGAATCAAGTCACATTTGGGAATTAGGAATAAAGAAACTACTTGACTCTTTTGCTTAATTTACCATGATATTGCATATATCAGTAAACTTAGACGCTTACTGGAAAAAAAAGTCATTTTTTAAAAAATTTGATATTGTACAGAAATATGATGTCAGGAAAAGCCCAAGTTGATGAACACAACATATAGCTTTTAAAAAGCAGTGCTTGTATTTATTTCTCAAGGTCATTTGAGTCCTGGGGTTATACTTCCTGAATGTCTAACTACTTGTTAGTGCTGTGGTGATGGATATGTGTAAAATACACATAATAGAAAAACTTATCTTCCAGGGTTGTTGTGAGCATTTATGGAGACAGTTGCAGGTAAAGCATTTAGCATAATTCCTTACACAGAGTAAATGCATGCTCAGTAAACTTGGCTGCTGTTATTTCTGCTAGGGATATTAGTGGTGTACACTGTGGATGGCATATAAACGTAATAATAATAATGTAAAACAGAATAAGTTCAGCACTGCAGTGTTTCACTTATTAATTGACGTGCCTACCCAAGGAAGGTAAAAGTGTGTGCTGGATAGGGAGATAGGAATGTTGGTTTCCCTTTCCCTCCATGCCATGAAGGGGTCAAGGTGGACTACATGAGTATCTATTTATAAGGCCACCCGCTGTTGCTCAGCAGATGTCAATATGCCCACCCTGTCTTCATGGAATAAAGAGGAGGTGGGTGGTATCATTTCTTTCACGTCGTAGTCACAGTGAGAGCAACACCCCCAACTCACTGGATCCTCCCAGCAACACTGTAAGTCACATAGGGTAGAGCGCACTGAGTCCCAGACCAGGCCATTTTCCCGCATTGACACAGTTACTGAGTGCACAGCTCGGCCCAAGTCCACGTCGTGGTGCCCGGCTTCAGCACTGTTTTTGCAGTGGTGAATGATCTCTCTCGCACATGTCCTTTAAAATATAGTCCATTGAAGAGACGGTTTATTACTCACAGTTCCCAAGAAGAGGGGGCACCCTGCACCGGGGAGGGGGCTGCATAGGGAGAGCCAGGGCCGGTCAAGAGGGAGAGCGGGAGGGAGCAGCTAAGGGCAGCAGCCTTTATGTGGCTTCCAAGGGAAGGGACGGGCAAGGCAGGGTGAACAAGCTCAGGACTCACCAGTCTGAATAATTTCAGCAGCTCTGGGGCATAGGGGTTGTCAGTGGTCTGGTACCTGGCCCTGGGGTGATTAGGGCAGGGGGATAGTGGCCTGGAGTGTGAGAGCACAATAACGGAGGTGGCCGAGGTGTGGGTTCAGGATTAATTGGTTTGTATATGAAGAGCATGCTCATGGGTACGTTGTTCACTGTCTCTAGGAACTGGCCAGCCCTGGGAGGGGCAGACCCCCCAGGTCAGCAAGTCCCCAGATATGAAAGCATCAGAAGACAGAAGATAAAAGACCTGGGCAGTATAACATGCTCTGGCTTCAGTTTTAGTCGAAGCTTCTGAATACCTTGAGTCATAACTTCTTTGTTGAGTCCCAGGAAGGGCAGGTTCTCTAGCCTGGGAGGATTCTGGGTCTGAGGTCCCCCCTACCTCGGGGCGAGCCCGCCCTTCAGCTCCCGCCCTCTGTCTCCAGCCCCCCTGGAGGGCCTGTAGGCTTCACAGGTGGAAAACTGAGTTGACCACCTTCCTCCCCCAAAGCCCTTCTCCAGCCCAGCCGTGGTCCTGTCTCAGGTGCAGCTTTGCACCCTTCTGCCCATGTCGGGGCTGTCAGCTCAACGCCTTCCTCCCCGTCCTTCCCACATGCAGTCTTCCACCAAGACCCATTGTCCCATCTCATCAGTGTGTCTTGACATGAATGAATTTGGCCATGTCACTTTCTCTTCAGCCCCATGCTTTCTGTCTAGCCAAGATGACTGTGACTGAGTCTTCACTGGCCTCCTACTGTCCTTTAAACCAATATTTTAATGGCAGACCCCATGACATCTCTCCTTATTTAAAAGCCTTGAATGATTTCCAGGTGTTTACAGGCTCAAGTGTAAAATCCTGGGCATGGCTCACAAGGCCCTTCACAGTCAGACCCCAGTCCCTCTGCCGACATGTGAGACAGCTCCTCACTGTGGGAGGGGACAACCACTGAGTGCCCCTCGCTGGCTCTCAGTCCTTTGTTGACAGTCACCCTATCTCCTACCCAAGGAAGGCCCATTGTCCCTAAGGCCAAGGTCGTGTGTCAACAACTCTGGGGAGCCATCCCCATCTCATGTGCTGTAATCAGTCACTCTTTCCTTCATGTGTCCTTAATCCTTCTTACACACCTCTGTTATAGTAACGATCTCATAGTATCGTGGCTGCTTTTTACCTGTGGCGTTCTCATCTCATCTCATTCATTCGTTCAGCAGATCTTTGTGGAGTGTTTGTTCTCCAGTAGGCATCGTGCCAGGTGTTGAGGATGCAGAAATAACTAGGTCAGACCTGCCCTCGAGAATCTAATCGCCTCCTTGGGGAGAATGAGAGTCAAAGAAATAATCAGACAAACTTGTGAGCATCTAATTATAATTACGGTTTGGTGTGGGCCATGGCAGGTGTATGGACAGTCCTGTAAGCACAGAGAAGAACGCTATGGAGAAGAATCAGGAAAGGTTCCAGGAAGTGGCATTTGAGGTGGATCTTGAAGGCCAAGGATGAGTTTATTCAGATGGAGAAACAGAGAGAGAGAGGAGGTTGGTGATTTGGTGGCTCTTTTGGGGGCCCTAAGAGCCCAAATGTGAAAAGTGGTGTCAATGTGGGAAAATGTTCAAAGTGGTTGAGCAGTGTGGGATATTCCCACTAGGTGCCCTTGATTGTGTTTCTCAGTCTTACGTGTGGCTCAGGGTCATAGACAGCAAGACACGACAGTCCGAATTTCCAAAGGTTTCTTAGATTCCGTGAGAAAAACATCTCCCGCATGAGCGCGAGACTCACAGCACACAAGTTAACCATTTGGTTGAGACGTGTGTTTTCACACTGCCATGTTCTTTGCAGTTAGATTTATATTATTACTTGAATTGGAGGCAGTTTTCAAAACTTCCTCTAGCATGACTTTACGGTATTAACAGGTCTTCAAAAATTTCTCCTGGCTGAATGCCATTGAATGTGAAACTGTCCCAAGGGCTCCAAATATCCGACCTCTGTTTTGGTTGTCAGGCATGCTTTGGAGTCAGGTAACCCTAAAGGCCTGGCTCTGCCACTCGCTGGTGGGTACCCTTGGGGAAATTATTTTACCTCTTGGAACCTTAGTTTCCTTCTTAGTAAAATACAGAGGAAGATGGAGCTTACCTGGTGGGATTGTTATGAGTTGATGAGCTGAGCATTAACCAAATGCACTGGACAGAACGGCGCAATTCCTGGCATGTAGTAAATGGAAGGGGCTTATTTTGGGTGATGTCGTTGTTGTTATGCTTGAATGAGTCCACAGCTGATTCTTGTATGGGCTGGAGGGATGTCTTAGGTGATGCTGAATTATCAGAATCCATGAAGTCAAGCAGCATTAGGAGCAGTGGAGTCTTGGGGGGAGCAGATCATAGCCCCTTTTTCCTTTCCCTTCATTATCTTGTGTGTTTCATTAAATGTTGCTAAAACACTTTCAAAAACATCAGTTTGCATGTCGTTGTAGGAAAGCTGAAATCAGGGATGGGGACATTTGACATTTTCCCCCAGCCATTTTGTCTGAATTGAATGCCACTTTGTTTAATTAGCCGAGGATGCAGTGATTTCTTCAAACTCCAGGTTTTAGGTGCCGGCCTTGCTCATAACACTTTAAGTAGACTTAACATTTTTTACTCCAGACACACATCCATTCTCACTTTTCAGTGTATATTCCTACTTTCAGAGGGTTTTTTAGTGTGTGTCTATGTGGGTCCATGTGCGTTTACTGAAAGGAAGCAGTTCTGTGTTGAGAGTGTTGGGTTTTTGATTAGAAATCTACTTAAGCTGTAAAATCACCATGGAATAAGCAGTTACAGCCAATTAGTGTAGTTCCCCTTCATGGCTCATCCCTAATAGAAATGTCTGACTAATTTACTCCTAAAAAGACTCTTTCCTGTGTGGGCATGTTAGTTGCCTGACATTTACATGTTTATAAGGAGTTCAAGAAGTGGAAATGAAAATCTGTGCAGGAAGTCGATTTATATCACGGCTTCCTTTTCTTACAATCGAGAATACCATTCTCTGTTACCTTTTGACATTCCTGTGCTTTCTTCTCATCTACCTGTCTAGGAAGAACGTTGGTGAAAAGCACAGAAACCAGTGACTTTCGTGGCTGTGGACTTTCCATGGAGTAAAGAGCATCAGAACTCACCTGGGCCATCTTTTGTACCTCCACATCCCAAGCGTGTTCTGTGAACTTGAGTGCAAAAGCATTCAGGTGCTTTCCGAGGACTGTTGAAGAGGTGGGAGGGCAGGGGGGAGGGGGGAGAGAATATGGAGCAAATGTTTTACAACCTGAACCTCAGAACTGATCCTCCAAGGAGAGCGCTACTTGAAGAAAAGAAAAAAAAAGTCGAATGGCTTCTCAGGGATTTTGTTTTCCGTGCACATATAAGCCATAGTTACAGTACAGGTGGCAGTATTTAGAGCACTCAGATTTCAGTTCTGTTCAATGTGAAAGAGGGATCGACTGACGTTCATTGCTGTTCCGTAACTAGTGTAAAATATGTATATGTTTATCTTTATTTTTATAATATGCAAATACATTTAAATTTATACCGTTTGAAGCTTCTAGCGTTAGTTAACACTGGGTGCAATATTCTGCATGAGAACTGTGCCAAGATGGGGCTGATTCCTTATTTTAGTGTAAGACTTTTTGATTTTTTTTTTATTCTTTAATCTTCCTTCAATGTTTTTTTTTTTTTTTTTTCCTTTTTGTCTTTTTTCGTGACCGGCAACGGGATCGCAACCAGTGAGCCGACCGGTCTCTATATGGGATCCGAACCCTCGGCGGGAGCGCCACAGAAAGAACAAACAGCTGCATTTCAAGAAATCACAAATTGATTTTTATAGAATATTTTGTGCCCCAGGAGTTAACTTCACTGACTCCAGAACCTCCAGTTAAATGTGTGATCTCTTATGATCATAAAATCAAATAGGATCAGACTATTTTTGCATTTTTTAGTACTTGAATATGACATCTCAGATTTGAGATTTTATTTTCTTTTAGAACACAGTCACAAGACTGATCTGGTTAATCCATTTGTCACAGTTCTCGTGTGTGTGCGCGCGCGCGTGCTTGTAAGTGTAAACTGAATGGTAACACTTAATTGCTTTATGGACCATTGAATTGTTGGGCAATAAGAGTTTTTAAATTGGCACAAGACAGTTTCTAAATTGTCAAATGAGCCAATTTCGACCAGTCTTTTTAAACAGACTCAAGTGTGTGACTTAGGGCCAACTCCCTAGGGGACCATATTAAATGAAAAAAAAAAAATGCTCCTCTGGGTGTCATACCCTGCAAAGTGTTTGCTATTATCCTGAACACGAATGCCCACGTTCTTAATATCTGCTATTTTTTGACAAGTGACGTTTTGTGCTGTCATCTGAACCCTAGAGAAGCAGTGTAGGCAGAAACGCTGATGTCACATGTGTTTTAGCGAAAGGGTCATCATTATAGAGGTTCACGTGACCAAAAGAAGCTCCAGAAAAGCTTGAGAAGTAGCTTCAGGGTGTGGGGAGGGTTGGAGATTTAAAACACTCTGCTCTACAGAAATTTTCACCATCTATGCAGGAAATTCCGTTTTCTGTTTCAACACCTGGGAAGACTCAGCAGCTTGCCGGGGCCAACAGGCAATTCCCTTAAGCACAAGAGGAATTTTTTCCAACCAAGGAGTCCCCTGCCTCTCAAACCGGTGCCCTCCAAGTTTGTTATGCTTTCTATTCCTGCAACGTGTGGTATCAAAGCCACTTCCTGGAATTGTAAAAGTGCTGCCAGAATAACTGTTATTCCCCTTCTAAGAAAAAAATGGCAGTGCTCATGTTTGACGCTTGTGCTGTGGACTCTTTTGAATGAATAAAAAGGAAAGGGTTTGGTGTAATTCTGATGGGGTGTGTGTTGTTTTTCATGCCACCGTTTGTGAATTGTAATTGTGGTTTCCCAGTTCATTGTCATAACTGGGCAGAAATTTTAAAAAATCCAATAAAAATATAAAGAAATGGTTAAGCAGTTATATTCCCAGAGTTATTTCTGTTTGTGTTTGTTTGTTTTTAGTTCCAATTTTATCAGTTAAGGAATAACCGTTTTGTATTTTTGGTTCCTAAGTCACGTTTGAGCTATGTGAGGTAGGTGGTGGTGACTGCCATCTGTTTGGGGGTTGAGTCCCTGAGGGAAGACTGAAGGGTCCCTGTTTTAAGCTCTGTGTCTGTTTTCAGGCTGGGGATTCAACTCTTGAATATTGGCTGTTTCCTGAATCAGATCTTTTCTTCAGTGAGCTGCTTATTATCAAAGCTTATGAATTTATGATAGGTTTGGAAGTTCCCTTTCCCTAATCTCTCTTTCAAGGCCTCTTAGCAGAAGTCCTTATAAATATTGCCCAGGGGACCCTCATCGCAGGCCCCTCAGGTACCAGTTAGAAGCTCTATTCCACCAGATTTTTTTTTTCTTTCTTTTTATTTTGGAGGCTGGCTGGTACGGGAATTGAACCCTGGTGTGTTACCCACAGCACACTCCAGGTTTTCTAAAAGGACAGATGGAAATGTGAAAAGAAAGGAACGCAGCTGCTTTTTCCGGAGGCGGCAGCAGCAGCCTCTAGGGGAGGCCAAGACCAGACCAGCCCTGCCCTGGGGCACTGCAGCATTGGGGATCAGGGAAGAAGGGGCCCCTCAGACCAGGAGGGCCTCTTTGTAAAACCTCTGAAGAGGTAGGGGGAGCCACTGGGCACCCCTAATTCAAACGTGCTTCTGCCAAGCAGAAAAGCTGAAACCATGTGGCGGTCGGAATTCCCGCAAGAGCAGCACATTTCCGACGGGACGGCTCCTTCTCACAGGTGTGTCCAGGCAGTGCCAGGTGCCACTGCCGTCCCCTCCTGCTGGAGAGAGCACAGCAAGCATACGTCATCTCTTTGGGCCTTGTTTTTCTTTATCAAAGAGGTATGAGTTCTTTAAACTTGCTGAGCAGGTCACACAGATGAGCAGGTGGCAGCAGTGACACCTGGAAGTGCATTATTTACTGTACTGTTCCCGAGGCTGTTTCCTACCCAGCTATGAGCTTTGTCAGGTAGGTTCCAGGTTTCCTGAGCTCTGGATACAGGGTGCAACATCTATGCCCAGTGCAAACGCCCAGGGTTTCCTTTGCCCGTGAGCTTACATCCCCCAGCAGTACTGGCACCAAGGAAGGCTGTCACCCAGTGGGACTTGCTGCCACTGCACAGAGCAGGAATGGGGTGCAGTGTGGATGCGAGGGTTTTAGAAAGCAAAGAGATGACCTTTGAAAGTTATGTGGGTTTCACGGCATGAGAAAATTCACCTGGTAACAGAAACCCGGTTTGGATATTTGTAAGCTCTTTCAAGGAAGAAATGCCTTCCTCTTTATATACAAGAAATATTTTTGAATTTTATTCTAAACACAGACGAGTCCAGTGTGTCCTGAGATGCTAACACGTGTTCCTCTTTAAAAGGGTTCTGAGACCCAGTAAGTTTGAGAAATGCTGCATTAAATAAAGCTTGAGTCTTTGCTGCAGGAATCAGAGCTTTTTAGAGGCCGGTATAAAGTGTCTCCACGAGGGCAGCGGAGCGTGCAGCCTTTCCACATGTATCTGAGTGCGAAAGGAAGCCTGTCCCAAGAGTCGTCGGTGGACATTCCTCTGACTGGTATTTCCAAAATGTGGATGTGTCTTGCCTGCCAGTGCACCCTGAGGCAGCTGTAGGTGAGGCTGAGATAGCCTCAAATTTTATAGAATCCCTTTTACATTACTTAGGAGGCAGAGTGGCAGGGCAGTTAAGAGCACTGACTCCAGACCGACTGCCTGTTTCCAGTCCTGGCTCTGCCATATAATCATCTTGTGCCTCAGTTTCCTTGTGTGTAAAATGGAGACAATCTACCTCACTGTTATTAAGAATATTAAATGAGATACCACGTGTAAAATGCTCAGGACAGTAAGCCCTAATCAAACACTGCTATTCTATTGTGTAGTTCCCTTTTTTTTTTCAGAGAAAAGAGGTTGCAAGCTCAGAGCCTTTAACAGTATCTAGCTAGGATTTTAAATAATTTATAATTTCATCATATTTACTAATTGGCTGTGTGCACTAGCAATAAAACGATTGCTTTAAAATGAATCAGAGAAAAGAGGTTGCAAGCTCAGAGCCTTTAACAGTATCTAGCTAGGATTTTAAATAATTTATATTTTCATCATATTTACTAATTGGCTGTGTGCACTAGCAATAAAACGATTGCTTTAAAATGAATCCATTTAAAATACTTTAAAATTCTACTAGAAAAATATTAAGTGAATAAGTGCAGGTGATACACAGATACAGAACATATGAAGACATGCAAAAATTAGGAAAGTGGTGCGAATGTCTGGCTAACATAATGGAGAGACACAGTCTGGGACCACTGGTCTCGTGTGATTCTGCTGGTTTAATGCAACCCATAGAGAGATCAGGTGATTTGCCTGAGTAAGTCTGAAAGACCCCAAAAGCTTTTATCTTTTTTTTTTTTTTTTATTTGGTAGCTGGGTAGTACAGGGATCAAACCCTGGACATTAGTGTTAACAGCACCAGACTCCAACCAACCAAGCTAGCCAGCCAGCCTCCCCCCAAAACTTTTAAAGATATTTCCCCCAGTTTTAAAACTTCTGCCAGAAAAATTTATGAGATTATAGAAGAATTATTGTGTTATAAAATGAATATTTCTTAAATTTGAAATTTGAGTTTCTGCATTCTTAAATGTTTTAGAGCAGCCAAAGACTTTTCATATAAACACAACTCTGAAATTTGGGAAAAGCTAGTTGGTTCATGAAAACTTTAATGCTTTTTAGGAGGCTCTTATAGGTGTAATACTTTTTCTCTGAATGGTTTATAGAAGCCAGACTGGAAAAGTGCACTCACATGTTTCACTCATTAGAAATAAAAACAAAATCCCACTAACCGATTTGGTGCACACAGAACAGAACAAATCGCTTGGGTTTATTTTATGCTCAGTACTTGAGAAATCATGGCATGAAATAATGTTGCGTACAAGCCCCATGCCCTCTGTGTGTCAAGGGTTATACGTAACGCCCCTTGTACTCGTGATACGTTCACTTTCCTACTCCACAAAGCATGCCAAGGTGCAGATGCACGGGACTGCCAGAGTGACGGAGGAAGCAGCTCGGTGGAAGCTCTCCCCAGCACAACATCAGTTCAACCAGGGAAAATTAAAAACAAAACAAAAATAAACAATCATTTAAAGTCTGGAAATTGTCCTGAGGACATACAGCAAATGTGCTAAATATTGCTAAGAGCAGCAGAGTCTGTGGCATTTCAGCCATGACTTCCTTTATCCCTCCTCCCCTACAGCTCCAGGTTCCAGAAGCTCGACCCTGGGCCCTCTACTCTGGGCAGATGTGGCCAAGAAGAAGGAGACTCCCTTTCTCCTCAACATCCTGACTGGGGGTACAGTTTCACCTCCAACCAAGCTACCCAGCCAGCCTCCCCCCAAAACTTTTAAAGATATTTCGCCCAGTTTTAAAACTTCTGCCAGAAAAATTTATGAGATTATAGAAGAATTATTGTGTTATAA